TACTCCACGATGAGCTGGGAAGTCAATGCCACAGCAAGGGAAGCATAAACAAGGCCGGCGTGCGCGATGTTTCTTGTTTCAGATGCCGCGGATGCAGAAGCCGCTGAAGACCGGCTCCAGAGAATTTCGAGGCTGCAAGAAAAATGCACAAACAGGCAGAGGGCGCTGCAAACGATGTTCTGACGTCGATATCGAGGATCCGGGACGGATGATCAACGAAGGTCCGTGCCAGTGCTGGAATTGGTCAAAGCGAGGGACAATCCGTAGGGCAAGCAATTCACCAAACAGGAACTGAAAAGAAACGAGGAAGAGAGGAAGGTTGAGGAAAGCCTTTGACAAAAGACTCGAGGTGAGGGAGAAGTAAGATAAAAAGCGATTGAGGAGGACCAACACGGTACTGACAACACTAGGGGCGTTTCAGGATATATAGATGGGAAAAAATAATCGAGGGAACAAAACGAGCGAACCAGGGAGAAGGAGACAAGACCCGGATAGTTCCTTTTAGGCAAAGGATGGGAAAAAAAGAAATGGAAAAAAATGAGTCCCAAAAGAGTGGAAGGGCGAGGAGCAGGAAATGTGGAGAGAGAGGGAGACAGTAGACGGGATCGAGGAGGGAAAGCAGACGATCTCGCGAACTGGAAGCTGGTGGAAACAAGGCCCGGGAGGAAAGAATTGCTTGCCTGCTGCAACATGACAGAGACGACCGCTGCAAAGAGTGGTGAAACAGGCTGGAGCTCGGCGCTGGATCTCACTGGCCCGATTGAAAGGGGCGATCTGCGGCGCGGTAGCAGTGACCTCGAGAGACACGCGTTGGCCCGCGCGGGCTGGCGCAGGGCAGCAGGTATCCGGTACGACGGCCGAGGTGGGCTGTGGCGGCGCCTTTCCAGCTTAGCGCACCTGCAGGGCCCGTGGCCAGCAGCCCCGGCGGCGTGTGATAGGGCGCCGAGCCAGGTACCGACCGCATACGAGGTGCGGCCACAGTGGAGCTGGCGCTGTGGCTACAGGGGGGGCCAGCACTGCACTGGACTGCACTGAACTGAACTGGACGGAGCTGAGCTGATGCTACGGTGCAGTTGGGTGTTGGCGGGTGCGCTCAAGTTGCGATACGTGTATGTATGTACGTACTGTCTGGACGGCATGGCGCACATGGCACGATGCATGATTGCGTGCGAACCCGTGCGTGTTGGGCGCGCCTGCACAGTGACGTTGCAGCAGGAACACGGTAGAAGACTCCAGACTCGACTTGACTCCTCCTCCTCCTTATCATCCATCACCACATGCATGCAGCAGCCCATTTCCTCCTCATGCTCAGCCAACTCACACTTCACTCGTTTCTTCCACATCTTGCAAGTCCAATTCCAACCGCCCCTTCGCCGGCACCTCAGCCCGGACAGTCGAGCAGGGCTTCCCCTCGTCCGTCCCGGGCCTCATCTCACAAGCTCATCAAGACCCGGCCCCTGCCATCGAGGCTGTAAACAAGAGTGGGAACGGGCCACAGGCCACGCGACGTGTCTCATGCGTTGCCTGTCCTGTGCCGTGGCCTCTGTTCAGCTCCGTTTCTCGATAGTAAAACGGCCTTTTGGCGAATGAGTCTCCCCGGTTGCGAGCCCGGAAAAAGCCCTGGAAATATTACCACTACAAGGTAATACCCGTATGGAGTCGAAAACGTCAGCGAGGGAGAGGGACCAAGTGGATCTTGCTCATGGCTTCGTTTTTCTCCATGACAGTGTGGCATAATTTGCAAAATTTGATACAAAGAAGCAAAGAAAGAAAGGTGAGAGAAGAAAAAGGCCGAATAGATGCTAGGTAGCATTGCCGGCAGTCTCCGACAGCCGGCCTCTTTTTCTTTTTTAATGAGATGGGATGCCCGATACGAAGGGACTCTGCATGCGGTGCTATTTTTCAAAAACGCCTTTTCCTGAGCTCCCGTTTTAGTCATTACTTGTTTGTCTTTGGTATTCTCTTCCCCTTTTTTGTGCGCCTTGCCCGCCAAGGACGGCGATAACGACATGTTTCCTGCAGGAAGCCAAATTAACCCCCGAAAGGACAACTGCCAGTCCAGTATGGAGAGACAAGATGCAATTCGCACTTTACGGTGCTACTACTACTACCAGCATGCTGTTTCGACGCCACCAGCTATCGAAGCGGAGCGGTATCCATCACCAGTGGCTTCTCCCCGAGACGAAACCAACCGTCGAGCTAGAAGCACTTTGCAAAACGGTCTCTTGCAGCCCCTGGGCTCTTCTCCTGAACGCCACGCGGGACAAGACAAAACGGCGGTCGAAAGCTTATGTTTTTTCTTTTCTCCCTTTCTGCTTTTCTGAAACTTTGACATGTGCTTTTCTCTCTCTGCTAGTTTTTCTCTGCTACTAGTGTCTTTGCGTTTAAAAGGCAATTGAGACATGTGTACGCGGCCCGAGACAAGATGAGACGAAGACGGGTCTCCATATCAGCCAAAAGTGCCGTCTGACCGCGATCTTCACTCGACAGCTCAGAATCTGGCTGATCGGCCAGTCGAGCTGAAGCTTGGGTGAAGCCCATCCCGCTAGAGCACACCATCTTGGAGACGCCACCAGGCGTTGACAGGCCACAGGCACAAACGCCATCCCGAAGCCATTCATGCGCATCTCATGTTATCAGATTGATTACCGTGATCATCTAAGTTGCATAACAGCAATCAGAACAATTTGATGCCTTTTTTCCCGTCTTTTTATCCATCACATTGAAGTTGACAGGGAATTCACTCACAACTGATATAGAGACTTCATCTCGATCGCGATACGAATCAAATCGCCACTCATCTGTTCCCCTCTGCAGATCCGAGCCCAAACCGATCATCACCTTGCATTTCAAAGTCGCAGCTCCATCTCAGCATTCCCTGCATGCGATGAACGGATCTCATCATCCATTCAGCCCATCACTCAAATCCAGGCATTCCCTCATCTCCCTCTCCCTCGCTTCCCCAATCGCACCCAAAATCACCCTGAGTTGAGATCACACTCAATCAGCCCCCCATCTCTCCCACGAGTAAATCCCAGACCACAATCCCAAACCACCTCAAAAAGATCGCCGCAACAAACTCCTCTTATCACTCTCAGCTCTCCCCAAAACCCCTGCCGTCGATCGCCAAACATGCAACAACCACCGCCCCCCCCCCCCTCGTCATCATCACGCTCTGCACATCACCCCTCAATACAGCAACTTTCACTGCAGATGAATGGATTCCCCCATCCCATTTGCCAACCAACCACCCTCCCCAGATAAAAGATGCACGCAAACGAACGAGTCGGGAGGGAGATTGCCGAACCCGAGGTCAAGGTTTCATTTTGCGGGAGAGAGAGAGAGAACAGACCAAAAAAACGTGGGCGGAGAAAATGTGATGTGTCTGCTTTGGATGATATCATTGCGAGAACGTTTGTGCATGCGAGCTGAAAAAGTGATCCGCTTTTTTTCTTTTTCAATGATTCCGACTCAAGCGACTATCGCGCTTCAGATTGCTGTATGTCAATCTGAAGCAATATTGAACTTGCAATCCTAGGCGCTTTTATCTCCAATTCCCGATTGAAGCGCCATGTGCGTTTCAATCGAGACAGCTTGCGCGGCCGGCTTGCTCGGGGTACTCAAACGCTATGACTCTTGCGCAGCCCCCAATCGAATTGCATCTCAAAGTAACGGAATAAACAACCTACCTGCTCAAGGAAATGCCACGCCAAATTCCTCCTCTCATCTTTACACATCTCTCACAGGCCGATACCCAGCCAATCCTGAGCCAATCTCATTTCAGAGTAATAGTAGTACTAGTAGTAGTACGGGATAGAACTACATAGGTATACCCAGGGAATACTACCGCGTAGATCCCTCCCCCGTCCTCTTTACCGCAAATCCGCATATACGTTGAAGTTGCCAACTGTCAAGACTCTTCTTGCGTGTGATTCTGAAACTCACACAGTTACGGGGGAAAAAACCACCTCCAACCAAAAAACCACAAAGAAGGTCTCTCTACCTAATCCAGTTTATTATTGTATCCGTATCCCATGTTGAAAAGAGCCCCCCTTGTCCCAGAGATTCCCAGCATCCAATGCGATTCTTCCAACTTCTCACAATCACAAATCATCGCAAAATCTAGAAGAGCAGATTGCAAAAGAGATGGATAGATGATGGCTATTGATGAAACTTTGAAATAAAAACGAACCCAACGCAACGCCAATTGAGTCTTGACCATTTTCCAGCAAACCCCGAACATCGCAAATGACCAAACATCACCGTCAAATGCAGCAACACTCAATTCCTTGCACAGCTTTTTCCTTCCCCTTTCCAATCAATGCCCCATCAATCCAATCCATCCGCCACCTCCTCCAAAGCTCAGCGTACCTTTGCCGTTATCTTGTACGAACGAAGAGCGGTAGCTGTAATGACAAAACATGGAAGCTTCATGCAGATTAGGTTAAAATCATTCTGTAGAGGCTCTCTTCATTCTTCACTGCCCATATTGCATAAATGACTACGTATGTACATACATGTAGCGTATATGCAGTGTATAGGATATGTCTTGTGGCAGATACACGCCATCTAAATCTCCAGTAAACCTCATGAGATACACAATAATACCGCTCTTCCTTTAGAGAAGATCCTTCCAGCAGACCAATTACCCGCTCATCGCCCATATCGCATGCAACAGCGCTTCCATTATCAACGCTCATCCAAACAGCGCTTTAACAGAGAAGAAAATCCAGATCGAAGAATAAAGTGAATCCAAAACATGGTCTGGGGTATCGCTTCCCACATGCGCCAGTAGTCATCCCAACCCTTGTCCTTCCGTGGTATCATAAGTGGAAAGGGAAAATCGCTCGCCAGCTAAAATCGTTCCCAAGATGAATCGACGCCCAAATGTTTCATCAAATCGCATATCCCCAAAAACGCATATCCAGCAAACGCCATCGCAGTCGAAAAAGGGAAACAAGGCATCAAAGTATGTCGTAAATGTCAAAAAGCAATGTGATTCAAGGCTCCGAAGACATGGGCCTGGCATTCACGTTCGCCGGCACAAACCCAACAATGTCCTTGAGCTCGACCTTGGCCTTGTCGTTCTCAAACTTGTCCTCGCCATCGTCCGTGTCGACGTGGTCCGCCACGTCCAGCGTGTACAGCGGCTCCAGCGTCGCGTCCTTGCGCAGCAAGATCCACCGCTTCCACCACCACGGCAGCGTCTTGGTCACCTGGTACTTCATAAACACCCGCGTGGGCACGGCGAAGATGTAGTCCAGCTCCTCCAGCGTGCGCTGCTTCGTCTCGGGCAGCCAAAGGAAAATCATGATGAGCGCAATGACGTTGAAGAGCGCGTACAGCTCAAAGGAGCCCAGGACGCCCAGCCGGTCGAGCATCAGGGGAAAGGTGATGGACAGCACGGCCGCCCAGAAGAGACAGGTGGCCACGGCAAAGGCCATGCCCACCTCGCGGTGCGACAGGGGAAAGACTTCGGCCGAGTAGGTAAAGGGGACGGGGCCCTCGCCGGGCGAGTAAAAGGCGGCAAACAGGTAGATGAAGAAGGCAACGAAGCCCAGGTGCAGGCCGTTCTGTCCGGGAATCAGCGTGCAGAGCCCTCCGGCCAGCAGCGTCCACGCCATCTGCGGAAAGGTAAAGAGGAGCAGGGACCGCCGGCCAAAGGTGTCAATCGTCCACAGGGCGGGGAAAGCGAACAGGAAGTTGACCAGACCGAACCCCCACGAGGCGAGGAGCGCGCCAAAGGAGCTGGCTCCGGCGTCCTGGAACACGGTGGACGAGTAAAAGGCCATGATGTTGATGCCGCACATTTGCTGCGCAATCATGACCACGCCGGCGGCCAGGGTGGCGCGGCGGACGCGGGGCACGGTGAAGAGCTCGATGAAGCGACGGACGTAGCTGCCGGAGCCCATGAACTCGGCCTCCACCTCGAGCTGGACGTGAATGTAGTAGATGTCGCGGCCCGCCTGGACGGGGTTGTTTCGCAGGCGGAGCAGAGACCGCATGGCGTCCCTGTACCGGTTCTTCTTGATGTACCATCGCGGCGACTCGGGGCAGAAGTAGACGAGGCAGACGAGGGGCACGGCGGGGATGAAGGCCGAGCCCAGCTGGTAGCGCCAGGCCTCGGCGCCGATGCCCCTGACGGCGAGGTTGGCGCAGGTGCCGAGGAAGATGCCAAAGGCGTTCCACAGCTGCCAGCTCATGACGAGAGCGCCTCGGATGGGGGCCGGCGAGTTTTCCGCGGCAAAGATGGGGACTGTTGGGGGGAATCGAGTCAGTTTTGATCAACCAGTCGTGAACCAAGTCATCTTTGTATACGACATTGAACATTAGGGGTGCTTGATCAGCCAGTCGTGAATCAAGTCATTTTGTATACGACAACAAAACATAGGGATGCTTGATCTACCAGTCTGGAGCCAAGTCCTCTTTGAGAAAGGCATTGGGGTTGTTTCGGGTAAAGATGGGAGCGCTCACCAGTAGATGCCTTGGCGCCCATGCCCACGCCCATAAACAGACGGCATATCAACAGCGTCTGCCACGTGTTGCAAAAGGCGCTGGCCAGCACCGGCCACAGGCAGAAGTTGGCGGCGACGAAGATGGCGCCGCGGCGGCCAAAGTGGTTGTTGAGGGGGTCGGACAGCCAGCAGCCGACAAAGGAGGTGCCGATGTAGGGCGCGGCGTTGACGAGGCCGACGATGAGCTTGTCGTGGATGCTGTTGGAGGCGATGCCGAGGGCGGCCGGGAAGTCGAGGTTGGCGCCGTTGGAGCCGGTCTGGTCCCAGCCCTGGACGGCGGCGCCGATGGAGCAGGTGAGGACGGTCAGCAGCAGCGTCCAGGGAACGCGCCACTTGTGCAGGACCTCGTTGCGCAGGGCCTCGATCTCGTCCGGGCGCAGGGCCTCGGTGCCGGTGATGTCCTCGTAGCCCGTGGGGTCCTGGGCGACGAGGGCGCCCTTGCGGATGATGTCGCGGTGGTCCTCGAGGTTCTTGAGGCGGCAGAAGTCGTCGACGTCGGCCAGCAGCGTGCGTCGCGGGATGCCGACGAGTGGGTTCTTGATTCTAAGACACGCGGAAAAGGGGGGGGAGAGATCGGCAATTAGATGATGTGCTCTAGCAGTAGTAGTAGACTTGGAGGGAGATGGAGGGGGACATGGGACATGTCATGCCACGTGGGAAGAGAGACAAGGCAAGACAAGAGACAGTCGGAGAGACGAGAGGAGAGAGGAGAGACAGGAACTGAGACTCACTTTGCTTCCGTGTTGGCATTGAGGTTGACGGACTGCGAATGCGACTTTGTGCGTCCGGCCTCGGCCGAGAAGGACGACGAGACATGGTATTCGTTGGAGGCTCTGTGGCGGCGAGCGTCAGCATCAGCATCCGGCTCGGTGGTTGTCATGATGAGAGGACACCAAAGAAGAAGAGAAACAAAGAACATACATGGTAATCTCATCGACCCGGCTCTGCGACGACGACGACGACGATGATGACATGGCGGGCGAGCAGCAAAATCCGGGGAAAGCGTCACGACACGCAGCGACGAGAGAAAAAAGATGTGGGGATCAGTGATCCCGACCCCCCTCTGGCAATCTCTCGCTCTCGTGCGAGTTGCAGAGGGCGGAGACGGAAGCGGATACGATGCGAGGCGATGCGATGGCAAGCAGCAATCAGGGACGGTCGTAGCGAGTTGATCGGAGTGGTAGTGCAGTGGTTTGATGGCAATCGGCCCGGATGCTGCTCGGTCTGGGGACGCGGGTTTTCCAGTTGAGATTTGCTGCAAGAAAGAGGACAAGGACGGAGGGATGGCGGGTGAATGGACGGATGGATGGACAAAGAATGGGCAGAGAGAGGCGAGGCGGAATGAGCACAGTCGAAGAAGCAGCACCGGAAGAAGGCGAACTCTTGCGACAGGCTTGGTATGGACAGCCCAGCATGTAGTAGTACTCGTACAAACAAGTATTACTACTCGTTCTCGTAATGGGAACCTGGAAAAGCGCCGGCTTGTTTGGTCCGCCTGTTCCTGTTCTTGGCCTCTAGGCGGTGGTCTGGAGGCGTGGAGGAGACGCAGCGAGCCGGTGGAGCGCTGCGGCACTGTGCTGTATGTAGGTGCCGATGGTCGTGACACGACTCCAGCAGAGGACGACGAGAATGAAACTGGCACTTCGTTCATCCAAGATGTGGAAATGAAAGGTTTGCCTTTGGCGGGTTTCAGTTCAAGTTGGACCACAAGCCAACGCAGGAAAAACGCAGTGGCGCCAGAGCGACCAAAGCAGCCCGTTGACATGAGGCGGCAAAAAAAAGAAAAAAAGGAACGAAAATGAAGCGTGACACACTGTGAGGCTTTGCCCCGGCTGCCCAGGCTTTTTAGTGACCTGAGTTATTAGTAGAAGCTGACTCTTCTCTTCCCCCAGGCCAAGGCTGCGGAGCGGCTGGACGGATGTGATGGGATGGATCCGGTTCGGCTGCCCGCTAGCAGGGATGCTGCAAGTAAGAAGAGGTGGATGGAAGAAGGATTCCTTCGTTGCCGCTTTGACTCGACCTTTTGGCCCCCGGGGTTTCTGTTGGATCTGTTTGCACCAGTATTTCCTGCTGTTCCTGTTCATTTCCACGTAGACACCGAGCTGCGTTTTGCTTCTTTTTCTTGTCGTTCATGGGCAATGAAAGGATTGCAAAGGATTGCATGTTGCGAAGAAAAAAAGAGGCGTTTCGGCGTCCCCGAAGAAGAAACAATTGAATTTCCCAAGCCCGTTCCTCAGCCAAAAGTCCACGTGGGAAAAAAAAAAGGGCCAGCCAGCACGCGACAAAGAACCACTAACCCGGGACCGAAATAGTACCAGGCACAGCGAACAGCGGTATAGTAAACCAAGGGAATGGCCAGCCAGCAACCAGACAGACCAAATCATTTTTCCCAAGGACATGGAACCTTTTTGCGGGGGCCAGCCCGTCCATCCGTTTGTTACAGCGCCCCGCGTCTTCGAATTTCGGCTGTCGCTTTTCCCTTTTTTTCTTCTGTCTCCACGTAGCGTTGTTTTTAGAGCCCATTCTCACGCCGGCAAGAGAGAGAGGAGAAGTTCATTAAAGAGATGCGCAGAGGAAAAAAAAGACACAAAGCAGTGGGTATGGAGGTAGCTACATAAGCAAGATTTTGCGACGTGCATCATTTGATGTGGTATTGAAAGTTTGAGTTCCAACAAGTTTTATATCTTTTGCTGCTTCCATAAGATACATTCTCCGTCGCAGCATTCATCTCGTTTCAGTACCACGGCGTATTATGGGATCTCTTGTCCCAACACATCAGAACGAGCCCGTCCACAGCGAAAAAAGACTGGCAAACTACAGCCCTTCTCGTCCAACGTCTCACATGCCGTAAATATATACATGCAACGTACAAATTAACCCGCATTGACTCATTCATACCCAGACAACACAAGGAGAAACAACCCAACACAGTACCGCAAACAAAGACCAAAACAACCTCAATTTAACAACCTTTTTTTTTTATTAATAAAAAGGGGGCTAATTTAGTATCTGACAACCTGACCTTCCGGAACAAAGACCTAAATACCATGGTACTTAGCCTCACACCGCGGGACATTCAAACCTCGACTTTCATCTCAGATCCAAAGATGCTAACTGGACAATTTAACCCAAGGGCGTCAAACTCCTTGGTTTGTCTCACTTTCGTTGGGCGACTTTTGTCGCAGCGACGGCATGAATTTATCCCAATTAACTTCTTTCCTACAAGGTATATAGATCAATCAAGCCCCTTCAGTAATTGCCTAGATGAGCTCTTGTCAATTCTTACATTACTTGTGAGAAAATCAATCGGTATCGTTTTGTTTTGAATGCACCCAAATAGCTGCTCGGCTTCGTTTCATTGTCAACATAGGCCATCAACCTTCAATACCGAGCCTTCAAACAGCAGCACATCTCGACTCAATATTACTAGTGGCCGTTTCTACATGTACCTACATTAGCCTGCCGCCCAGGTAGTCACACAGACTCGAGCAGCAGCGCCAGCAGGCACCCGACACCCAAGCCAACCAGCCTCAACATCTGCCATACCGCACAAAGCACATACATCGTAAAGGGGGTGACAAACGCCCTCCTCGTCACATTCCAGCCAAATCACACAAAACAACAACTATAAGCATCGAACAAGAGCCATACAAAAACGCAACCCGGCTTCCAAGGAGCCTTCTCATTCACCGGCCACCGATATCAGCAGCATTCTACCCGATCCAAATAGCACCGTAATGCTACCTAATACAAGGGATAAATAGGTATCATGTCAAAACATGACCAAGCAGAACTCGCAATCACAACGCCAACAAAATGCAAAAAACTGACCAACGCATTCCCGTCGGGGTGCAGGGTCCCGGGCTGATGGGACGTTGAATAGCCATTCCATGGTAAGAACTTTCCCCTTTTCCCTTCCGCGCCCATCGCCAATGTGTGTATGTGTTGCCCCTTGTATTGTGTCCGAGGTCAAAGACAACCTCATTGCTCGCCTCAATTTCCGATGTCGCCCCTGCCGTTCGATGCGAAGAGGGCGCCGTTTTTTTTTTCTTCGCCAAAAAAAGAATATGATCGAAGTAAATTGCGACAAAAATGATTAGAGATGAAGTGAAGAAAGGCTTGGGTAAGGCCGGAAGATTGTTGAAATTGGATATAAGAAAGGTAAGATGATGAGAAAGTCATGAGGGGTTGAAAAGAAGAGGAGAAGGCCATGAGGAGTTGAAAGGAAGAGCAGCATAATGGACCAAGGCCAAGAGGACCTGAAATCCAAAGAAGTCGACCCAAGCGAAGATCAAACAAGTCCAAAGAAGATCCGGATAAGCAAGCATCAAGCAAATAGGTATCGTGGCTTCAACCGCCGTCCCTCCTCATGGCATTCAACACACCGTTCTGCATCTTAAACAGCTCCTGATCGCGCTTCTCCAGCTCGTCCATCAGCGCGCCATACTTGGCCTGCCACTGCTCATTCGTCAGACTTTCCGCCGCCGGCACACCACCCGGCTGCGAGGCCTCGGCAGCCTCTCTCGGCCCCGGCTTCTTCCACATGGTCACCGGCACGCTGTGCGTCATGGTGAACTGGCCCTTGAGGTGGCCGAACCGGTACTGCCAGTCAAAGTAGTAAGTGTAGACGCCCTCGGACGTCTCAACCCGGTAGCACCTCGGGCGGTTCGTCATGAGCATCTTTGCGCCGCACAGCGCCGCCAGGTTGATGAGAAACGCCTGAGACGACTCTGCATTCCTATACATGTGCTCCACCGTTGCGTTGACCATGGCGGTGCACTCGTCCATGCCGGCAATCTCCTGCTGGTTGCCTTCGGGATCGATCCAGTCCGAATTGTGCAGCACGTGGGTGAAGTAGGAGATAAGCCCGTCCACGTTGGTCCGGTCGTCTAGATCCTCGAAGAAGTAGCGAGGCACCTCCTTGTTGGATGTCGAGCCGCCTGCTTGGCTAGCTCCAGCAGAGGTCGGGACGGTGTTGGTCTCGTATACTCCTGCTGTCGGCGGCTGCGAAAACGGATCCCATCCATTGGCCTGCGGCGCGGGCAGTCCCTGGTTAGCAACGCCTTGAAGCGCCGGAGCTTCACTTGCCGTCAGGCCATCGACCGGCACCATGGACGGCGGCGGCGGCAGCGGCGGCGTTGCCAGCCGAACTGTGCCCCCCTGTCGCTCAGGGACCTGCAGGGAGATACTGGGCCGAGCAGGTCTCGCGCCGTCGAGCGGCGGCTGGATGCCCATGCCGGCCAAGCCAAGGTTGGAAGACGATGCAGGGGGCGGGATGATCTGAACCTGTGCCGGAGGTGGTGGCTGCTGCTGCTGCTGCACCCGCACCTGGGCCGCCGCCTGCATGGACGCGACCGAATCTGCGCGAGCGGCAACGACCTGGTTGCGAATCTGCGGGTGCATCTGGGCTGCGTCGGGAGCCAGTGGCATAGGCTCTTTGGGCATGGTGGCGACTGGAGGATCAGATGGGTTGCTGTCTGGAGTCGGGGCCCACGATGTCATGGGCGGAGGGTTAGGGGGAGAAGGCTCCGCGGCGGGTGCGCGGTTGATGGGGGGCCTTCCTCTTGGCTTGGAGCTGACGTCGCCTCCCCCAGGCTTCCACGCCGAAGATACGTTCTTCGGCCCTCGCCTGTGGGTAGAAGTCTTTGGTTTCGAGGGTGTGATGGCGGAACGGGGCTCCAGCGCGTCGTCCCAAAAGGAGCTCCTAGTCGAGGGTGTGATGGCGGAGTTGGGATAGCGGGAAAGCGGAGTCTGCACAGAGTCGCCGAGGCCCCAAGCAGCCGCGACGCCGGGCCTCAACGAGTCCATCGGCATGCCCTGGGCTCGGGCGTCTGGATGAGCCGACCACGAGGCCCGAGGCGCATCGATTGCCGAGGGGGGCGAAAGGCGCTGCCGCTGAGCCACCGGAGAGCCCGTGCTGTCGTCGGCCTCTGGCCTCTTGCGGCCTCTCTTGGGGCGGATGTGAGGCAGCAGG